TTAGATTCTTCTACCTTTTCCTTCAGCCTGTCTTTACCTTCATCCTCCATCCCAACTCCTTTAGTCCATAGCTAATCACTTCAACTGTCTTTATTTAATGAATAATTTCCACTGACACAATTGCCCCTTTGGACCATCTGCCTGGTAGAATCACAGAATTATCTAATTGTACATTTCTCCAAGATTACAACCAGGTCTTAAGACACTGCTGGTAAACATCAAAAATTGACATCCTTTAAATTCAGTCACCACCTTCAGGTGAGCCTACAAAAGCTGGCCAAGTACTTTTTATTTTCTGCAGGATATATATATATATATATATATATATATATATATATATATATATATATATATATATATATTCCTATCTCCTATGACAGTTAAACCTTGAGCATCTCTACCTAATCTTTTTTTCTAGCAAATTCTTCTGTGTCACAAATTGAAATCCAACCCTCATAGATTACAGCTCACTTAACTTTGTCTTTAACCTCCTGTTTTGAGTCCATGCCCAGTGTTTCCTGTTGCAACCGTGAAAGAAGGTTTTCTAACAGTGACTCTTCATTCCCCTGCCTTCTCAGAACTCATCCCTCCTCTTCCTGTGGTTTTTGATCTCTCCTGTCATGACTTCATTTTGGCATTAGTTCAGTATGTTCAAGTTCCTCCCAAGTTAAAGTTATTGACACTGACTACATTTAGATGTTTTGATTCACTCAGCTCAGTGCATCTAACTTCTTTCCCCTTCCTACTCTTGTCACAAAATTACTCATTACCAAAGACCTGTGGATAGATGAACCCAATGGACATTATAGTCCTCTTCTTGCTTTTATAGTATTCTCCCATAGTGCCACCTGTATCATTGTCAATTATTAATATCCCTCAAATTGCCTTTTTTAGGCATTCCTCTCTTGACTCCCAGCTTTGATCGTTCCAGATCATTTACTTAGTGCCCCATTCAAACAGATTTTTTAAAAAAATTTCACTTGGTTTGGATGAGTACGCTTGTCTAGGTGGCTGAGTCCTCTAAAGAGATAATTTAATCACTGGCAGCAAGCCACAAGAAGCCCAGCAGAGAGATCTGTTAATACAAAGCCCTAATGTGTATACAAGCTTGAGATGCCCAGTCACAGTAAGAAACTCCATTCTATACACCAGAATTTAAGTTAGTGCGCATTTATTATTACTCCAACATCATAATCACCTGGACAAATACTTAAGTGTTAATGTATTTGTTACATAGGTCCTGCAGAAAATGAAAAGTACTTGGCCAGCTTTTGTGGACTCACCTGAAGGTGGCAACTGAATTTAAAGGATGTCAGTTTTTTGATGTTCACCAGCAGTGTCTTAAGACTCACTTTTAAATTAAGATCTTAAGAGTGGGCCCGAAGTCAGAGGACACTAACTCCCCTAGCTAGCTATTAGAACCCCCTGTCTCCCAGAACTGTGCTGATCGGTCTCTCATTTCTTCAACCTGTGCAGACAGAACTGTGTCCTCAAACTGTGCCAATGGAACTGTCTCTTGAACCCTGTTTCCCCCATTCTGTTCCCTGGTCAGGCCATACCCATAATTTATTCAAAATGGTTTCTCCATCTTCATTTGGGAAGTTCAAGTTCAGCAGACCATTTAGTCTTTCCTCCCTAGCTCACATCTTTCCCAATCTCCGCTGTGTCCAAGAAAGATGAATGAGTGTGCTGCTTGCAGCACTTTGATATGTTAATTCTCAAGCATACCCCCATCCATCTATTATCTTTTTGGGTGGAACACCAAACTGAGGTTGCCAAAGGAGACACCCTGGCCATCAGATCTGAGAGCAAGCACATGATTTTGCTGGGGTTAATAAAAAGTCATTACTTCAGATTATGTCCATTAATAAAAGTCATTCCTACAAGTGGTAATTAGTTACAAGTACATTAGGGTCAAAAAGTTAAAACCTGAGCACAGACAGGGCTAACAAAACAAGGTAGCATTTTTGTATAAAAACAAATACTAGTTGCAGGTTTAATTTTCTGTACTCAGGATAAACTTCATCTGTCTTCCCAACAGCTGTCATTGCTATTTTTCTTCTATAAATACAGTTATTTTCAGATTTTGGGGTGCTGATTTGTAATTCCAATACGAAAAGTGTTAAAAAAAAAAAAGTCAAATTAAGGCCAAACCATTCAAAAATGGCAAATTCTGTATGAGTCAGATAATACAATGATCCAAATTATGGTCAACTAATTCATACAATTCTTGGTGCTTTACACCATGAAAAGTATTTTAAGATTCAAAACAGTAAGAAATATGGTTTTTAAAGCTAGCTTGGTTGGTGTCACTTTGTTTTAATGCTAGACTTTTGTTTTTCACTTAGAAAGCTAGGCCTTCCTTTTCAGTATTCCCGACTTAGCCCCGAGCAAGGCAGTGGTCTCAAATGCTTTGACTAAATAGGTCTATGAGGAGGAACAGAGAAAATTTAGAAATATCTTAGCTTCTTGAGCAGCTCAACACTTCCTTGTACTCAACTTATTCAATGGAGTTAAATTTATTTGTGAGGTAACCACAATTTTCTCACTGGAAAAAATGACCAAAGTCCTTGCCATTCCTTATACTATGCCAAGTCTTTTTTTCAATTAGGCCTAAATTGAGAGAATGAGCTCACAGTAGGAAAAAAGGGCACATTTACATTCAGAGGGTTAAGTCACTTCATTTTGAAAGGTTACTTGATGGAAAACAGCTGCCAGGTTACCCAGTGGGAAATGAAGTAATTCAATGTTAAGAAAAGAATGTTCGTCCATCAGTCACAACTAACCTGTATGACTTTGAGTTTAACATACTGAGTTCTTATTTTCAACACAGTTAAATGAAAATAATAAAACCATAGCAACACTGGTGCCTACTTGAATAGAGGATACTCCGGTATCCTGTTTCCAGACTGAGGTTTCTCATATTCACCAATGTCCAGAGTCTAGAGCACCATATACATTCAAACATTTGAAAGATGACCCAAGCAGATACTTTCTCTCTACTATGAAGAGTCTAGGAAAATAAACACACTTACAACTTTAGAGTAGGCTGAAAACTTGGTAGATGATTACCTTTATAGCTGGTCCACATAAAATATTCACTGATGGTCAACTAACGGCCATGGAGAGACACTAAAAAAAAATAAGGGTCAAAAGAATGAAAGCTGGGTGTGCTGACATACACCTTTTAATCCCAGCACTTGGGAGGCAGAGGCAGGTGGATCTCTGTGATATTGAGGCCAGCCTGGTCTAGAGTTGAGTTCCAGGCCAGCTGGGGCTACAAGATACCCTGTCTCAAAAAACAAAATGGAAAACAAAAGAACAGAAAAAAACAAAAAGAATGGGAAACATTGCAGTTTCAAGGATTGCTCAATGTACCTATTTGTATGTTTTAAAGAGCTATGGCTGGAAAATGTTGAGTGATTTGATCAGGCCTTTGGATAGGAATCATCTAATTACTTACTACCTTTCTCCAAAATATTGGGCAAAGGTAAGAATGTGATGCTTTTCTGAGAAGTCAGTGAACTGTTATGTACCATGCATGAGGTACCCAGTAGAGCACAGTTCCTAAAGGATGAATGTGCTACCAACAGAAAGGTTAACTGTGAAATATAACAAGTTAAATATTTAGCAATAAAAATGTTTTCACTAAATAAAATTCACACCTTTGCTAGCATTTCAATGAAAGAAATTATACATAGTGTGACAATGGATATAAAATAAAAATGGAAATGGAGTGGAACTTTTAACACATTTTGAAAGTATTCACCAAAACCCCAAGGCTTGTTTTATTTAAAATCAAAGCAACAGAAAACAAAACAACAACAAAAAAATCGGTAAGAAAGGCCAGTAGCCAATGTAACTTCATTGCTTGATATTTACAAGATCATTTTTATTGGTTATCAAAAGGCAATTATTTTAGGGTACAGTCTAAAACATAACAGCCAGATCTTCATTCTTACCAACATAAAAAAGCTAGCTTCTGGTTAAACAAATTCCTGAACTACAGATACACATATGGCAGACAGGGGATCTTAAGAGCAAAATCCAGCCCTGACACATCCCTCGACTACATCTGGAACAGTCTGCACTCAGCTTGCACACATATGAACACTGGCCATCGAATAGCAAAAGAATTTCATTTTCTTAGTCGTGGATTCTACTCATTTACAGAAGAGTTGTGGTTTTCCCTTCTCTGATTCCGTTTGTTCAGCTTATGCTACTTTGATTTTATTATAGTACTTTAAGATGTTGTATGTATGAGTGTATTGCCTGCATGTATGTAAGTGCATCTGTGATGTGCAATGCCTGTGGAGGTCAGAAGAGGTCGGATTCCCCTGGAACTGGAGTTATGAACAGTTGCTAGCCACCATGTGGGTGCTGGGAATCAAACCTGGGTCCCCTGCAAGAGCAGCCAGTGCTCTTAACAAGAACCATCTCTCCAGTCCCATGATTTTCTTATAGTTATTCTTATACTCACTGAATATGCCCAGTAGGCTTCTCTGAAGTTTACATAAGCATACATTTTATTTTACAAGTGCCAAAGGAAATGCCACAACTTAAGGAAGTTAATTAATTAGCATAAGTTAAATTATTTTCCTTGAGATCACTGATTCAAAAGAATGTTCTCATTAAGAATTATGTAAACTCACAAGTAAACAAAAATGATATACTTTAAGTATGTTCCAATTTGGTTTATATCACATTAGGTGTATCCAACTTTTGGCTCATGTAAATTCAGGCATTACGGTGTCCTTAGCCAAAAATATGGCCATCTTTCTCAGTGAACGTACAAACAGAACATATCTGAAGTTATTTTGCTGTATTGTGCTCAGCTATGGAAAACAGGATCAAATACAAAAAGTCAGCCAACAGCATGAAGGCTACTGTGAATTCTGAGATATATGCAGTGGTACTTCACTGTAAAAATGCCAAAAGGAATGGGAGAAGTCACAACTAGTAAACATAACTGCACACATGCTGATTACACTCTATTTCAGGTACTTATGCAACTGTAAAGATGTCATATTACGAAGAAACACAGCTGGAAGTCTGGGCTTCTGCATTGTAGGAGGCTATGAAGAATACAATGGCAACAAACCTTTTTTTATCAAATCCATTGTTGAAGGAACACCAGCATACAATGATGGAAGAATCAGGTAATAATTACTTGTCAAAAACACTTATGTTCAAATATTTTGTTTCCTTCATGTAAAAGCTTGGCCCCACTTGAATTACTATACCTTCTTTAAGAGTGTAAGATTTAAACAGGTGTATCATTTAACTTGTAACAAATTCAAAATTACAAACCCTCCTGGTCCCATACTGCAATTTCCTATACTACTATTCTCCAAAGCAAGCTGAATGGAGCTTGGAGCATTTAAGTGAGGAGGAAAAAGACAATTAGAATTAAAATGGACAAATATAGCAAAACTAGGACCACCACAATAAACCTGGATTAACTCCAACCATGAAATAAATACTAATGATGTTATCTTGTTTTCTTTAGATGTGGCGACATTCTTCTTGCTGTCAATGGCAGAAGTACATCAGGCATGGTACACGCTTGCTTGGCAAGGATGCTGAAAGAACTTAAAGGAAGAATTACTCTTACTATTGTTTCTTGGCCTGGTACTTTTTTATAAAATCAATGATGGATGTTGGAACACAGAAAAATCACCGATAGGCTATGTGAAATAATAGATTTATCCTGTCAATTTTTATATTTAAAAAATAGATTATTTAAAAAATCAGGAAAAGTATGATCTAGTGAGAACAAGTTACACCTCAGCGAGTATTCTTAAAAATTACTGATAGTGCCGGGCATGGTGGCGCACACCTTTAGTCCCAGCACTTGGGAGGCAGAGGCAGGCAGATCTCTGTGAGTTTGAGGCCAGCCTGGTCTACATAGTGAGTTCCAGGCTAACTGGGGCTACAGGGACACCCTGTCTCAAAAAATCAAAAAATAAATAAATGACTCTGGGATTGGATGAGAACATTATTCAGTGTGGAGCATATCTCATTGTTCCACAACTTTAAGTTTATATTTTTCTATTCAATAAAAAGCCCATAAAAAAATAAAGTGGTTTGTATGCCCCACTGAATTCAAATCAATTTAAATGAAAGAATGTTATATGCTGAGTTCACAAAAGAGTACATTATGGGCATTTTTAATTCAAAAGCAGAGGATTTAAAAAATGCATTGCTGAGAAATGTTCATGAAATGAGAAATAAATATTTTTCAAAAACTATAGCTATCTTTTTCTATGTGTTTCTAGGTAAGTTTACTTCAATTATCACCATTTAAAAGACCTAGTAGGGGCTGGAGAGATGGCTCAGCGGTTAAGAGTACTGACTGCTCTTGCAGAGGACCCAGGTTCAATTCCCAGCACCCACATGGCGGCTATGAACCGTCTTTAACTCCAGTTCCAAGGAAATCCAAAGCCCTCTTCTGACCTCTGCAGCACTGCACAATACAGGTGCACTCATGTACATGCAGGTAATACACACATACACATAAAAATAAAAATATAAATATTTAAAAAAAAAAGACGTAGTAATTCATTTAAACACCCAGGTACTTGTTACCATCATTGACCTGCAATTTCTCCCAGGGTCATCCCAGAGTTTTAAGCTTGTTTTCTTAATTTTAATAAGAAATGACTGATCTAACACTATTGTCATTGAGCTTACTTTTATTCACAATATACTGTATATAAAACCCCAGATCCCTCTCTACCAATCAATGGGCCTTAGAAAACTTAAGACATCTCTTGATACTGGCTCAGAGAGACAGCCATGAGGTGGTTCAACTTTGTGCCATATTGATGAGTGTCTATGTGTCTGCTGGAAAGAAGGTGCAACATAGCAGGGGTCACCCAAACGCCTTGTTCATTTTAGCAACATGAATATTCAAGTGCCCCATTTAGTTTTACCATGGACTCAAACATTGAAAACCTGTTATCAGAAACTGAGATATCAAAACCATATATAATTTCTTTAATATGCAGGAGTATCACAGTAGGAATGATAAAGACTAGTTTAATTTCAAGATAGAGAGGGGTCTTACAGTATACCTCTTCTGAAACTGGCATTCAATCAACAAGAAAATTGGCCATGGTGGGTCTTTGACCTTCATCAGTCCAGTGTATATACAGAGTTAAACTTACCTCTAAAGCCCCTCATGACTCAGTCACATGACTTTCTTGGATATAAAGTAATTTCTGTCTTTTATTTAAATATTACAAGACAAAGATTTTTAATTTAACACGAAAAATGCACACTTTTATTTTGAAAAAAAAATTAACTTTTCATTCTAACAGAACAAGATTAAAGGTAAATTTCTTAAACATTATCCAGAAAAATAAGGAGATCTGTAGTACGTATTTCTGGGACTGATACATGGAGGCAAAGCCATGTCTACTCGGCAGGTGCGGCTTCAGTGCTCTCCTGCTCGGGAACAGGCTCGCTGCCGGCCTCTTTTCCTTCTTTGCTTCTTTTTGATTTTTTGTGCTTGTGTCGCCTGTGACTGTCCCCTTCTTCACTCTCATGACGACGTCTACTGTTACTGCAGAAAAAAAAAATGTTGTTAAATAATGCCTAACTATCTAATTAGTGACAAATTTCAATCAGGTCTAAGTAAATTATCAATGTAATACTGGGTTTACGATAAATATATTTTGGAGTCATCTTTTGAGACTTTATGCATAAATTAACATTATAGGGTTATCTTTACTGTTATTATCCCAAATTCCCAGTGCTCATTTACTTTCTTTGTTCTGAAAGACTAATTCCAAGTCAGAAACCAGAGCACTAAGAAGAGGAAATACTGCTTTTTAGGGTGAATTTTCAGATAAAATGGGCTTTAAAATCGATGCTAATTTTTTTGTTGAGACTACAGGCCCTGAATTTTTTTTTCTTTGATCCAAACAGTATTTTAATATCTACTATAAAGATTTGTTCATATGACAAAATTCCCCTTTCCAAAGAGATTTTAATATTTTAGTTCTTATTTTTACTTTATGTGTATGAGTGTATTGCCTGCGTGTGTGTAAGTGCACCCGTGTTGTGCAGTGCCCATGGAGGTCAGAAGAGGACACTGAATTCCCTTGGACCTGGAGTTACGGACAGTTGTTAGCCACCATGTAGGTACTGGGCAGCCAGTGCTCTTAACAGCTGAGCCATTTCTCTAGCCCCTCCAAAGAGATATTTTAACAACCCCCCAATATCTCATTTTTATTTCATGCTAATTTTATCTGGGAGATAGTAGATTTAAAACGTGGTGAGCACACATGGAAGCAGCTAAAACAGATGATTCGCAATCTTCCAGTTAGGAACATGTATATTCTATTGGCTATTGGAAATGTTTTCACCTCCTGAGGTCAGTCTCCCCCATTAGCTTCGAGCTGATTCACTATTTTATTAAAGGGCAAACCTGCGAGATGACTTGTGTCTAGTTTCTTCTTTTTCTCTGTGTCGTCTTTCTCTGTGTCGTTCTTCTTTCTCTCGACTCGCTCTATGACGCTCATAGCCTCTTTCTGCATATTCTCTGTATCTGTACCGTTCTTCATCACTACAATAGAAATGAACTGTAAACTAAAGATCTCTGAAGCCTAACAAGCCCCCATGTTAACTCCTTACAGTAGAAAACAAATGTGCTTGACTGAGTCCCAAATCAGTGCCACATCTAACCATGAGAGCACAGTATACAATACTAGCCAACACATTACATCTGTTCTGTGCTATCAAAGTTTTTATAACAGATTTCATATTATGTTCTGATTTTTTATTTCTGAAAAAAAATGATACCTATAGCTGGATTAAAATTTAATCAGTTTTAGTTTCTCTTTTTCCTATTTTATAAGTAAAAGTATATTCATATATCTCAGTTTTCTACAAAAAACTTGTTATTTGAGAAAAAAAAACTAGTCACAAAGTGAAGATTCTAAAAATATATGGATCACAATGGCCACAAGGTATAGAAGGCAGATAAAGATTTCTTTTTTAAAATAAAGGTTTTATTTTTATCATACCAATAGAACTAGTATAACATTTACCAAGTAGAGAGGCAGAACCATGAAGAAGAGACATCAAACTAACTTCTACAATACCCACAGAGAACACACATCCTAATTATTTCATACTGCATGTGTGTTGGGGAGAACAGATGACTAAGAACTTCAAACACATAAAATACAAGTTATAGCTCTATTTTCTGACTTTTGAATAGATTTACAGACTATAATAATAAAATGATCATCAGAGGGCTTTTTTTTAAAATTTCTCTAGACCTTTCCCTTAAGTTATATCCTTAACTGACATTCTTTTCTCCATCTTTTTCTTTCTCCCTCCTTCTTTTTTTTTTTTTTTTTTTTTTTTTTTTTTTTTTTTAAAAAAAAAAAAAAAAACCCTCAATTTCAAAGAGATCTGCCTGCCTCTGCCTCTGCCTCCCAAGTGCTGAGATTAAAGGTCTGCACCACCAGGCCTGGCTTTCCATCTTTCGAGTCTGTCTGTTTTTGTTTTTCTTTTCCTTTTTGTTTTTGAGCCAGGATCTTGCTATGTAGTCCAAGCCGGCACTGAACTCACTATTCTCTTGCCTCACTTTCTGAATGCAAGATTACAAGCATATACTACCATGCCTGGCTTTTGCCTTTTTAATGTGTATAGCATAGAAATCAACATTTCTAAAACCTCATATAAGTAAATTCTCTCATTTAAAATAAACATCTTTAGAACAATGCTGAAAAGTTTTGGTTTCCAGAAATAGGTTCAATACAAATTATCAGTAATTTGTATGAGGCAACAAGGTGTGCAGAGTGTGAATGGGAATAAGAGAACATATAAAAAAGAACAAAGCAGCCTGTTTTCTCCTAGCAAAAGGAGTGACTTAGCAATGCTGTGCTTACTGCCAGAACATACTGCTGTCCAAAATAACCTGTGCTATATCAGTGTTTAAGAACACTGGCTGCTTTTGCAGAGGACCTGGGTTCGATTCCTGGCACCTATATGGTGGCTAACAACAACTCCAGTTCCTGGGATCCAATGCCCTCTTCTGACCTCTGCAGGCATTGCACAACATGAGTGCACTTACATATGTGTAGGCAGTACATTCATACACATAAAATTAGAAAATCAAAAAAAAAAAAAAAAAAAAAAATGCCATCTTATAGGAAATATACCACGAGGCAATGGAGGGAAAAAAAGAATTTTCACCACCACCCCTCTCTTGCATTTCTAAAAAAAAAAAAAAAGTATGCCATCTGATAGGCAATGTACCATGAGGCAATGGAGAGTAACAGAGTATTTCCAGCACATCCTGACTCTGGACTTACTGAGAGATCTGGGATGTTATTTAACCTCTCTAAATCTCGGTTTTCTCATCTATGAAACTGGCAACAATCTACTTTTAGGTTTCTATAGATGACAATAATATTCAATGTAGGGCTTGGTATGAGGACAGGGAGTTGAAGCCAAGCATGGTGGCACATGCCTTCAATTCTAGCATTTGGAAGGCAGAGACAGGCAGATCTCAGTGAGTTCAAGTCCAGCTTGGTCTACATAGCAAGTTCTAGGCCAGCCAGGGCTACATAGTTTGAACCTGTCTCAAAAAACAAAACAACAGAAAAAGAGTAGGCAGTCAATAAATGGAATTCTTGAGGCTGGCAAGATGGCTTAGCAGTAAAGGTGCCTGCTGCCAAGCCTGATGATCTGAGTTTTAGCTCCATGTCCTACATGACAGAGCCAGAGAACTGACTCCTGGAAGCTGTTCTGTGACTTCCACTCAGGCGTTGTCACTCTCTCTCACACACACACACACACACACGATGTAATTTTTAAAAAATAATATATAAATGGAATTCTTTAGTGGATTTGGTACTTAATTTTTCA